TTTTCTCATTCGAATATTTTTCTGTTACGATTATGCCAAATCCATTACCTCGAATTTCTCCCTATCTTTAACCCAAATTTTTCTCTAACTCAAGATTCGACTGCGACTTTAACATTGTAATTGTTTTTTTTTATTTTTAAATGCTTCTTATTCTTATTATTAAACATTCTTTCACACATTAAGACCTTTACAAATATATGTAAACTATTATTTCACAATCTAAATGTTTGTCAACTCGATGTATATGTATTACATAGACCTATTTCTAATATCCGTTGGAGTAAATCTAATTAGTAACTGCACTGGCTACCATCTGGATGAAATACACGTTGAAAAATAATAATTTTTCGATGCTTACTCAGAGTAGCCATTGGTAATGCGGCATTAGAATTTCACGGTCGCTGATTTTCGTTCGAACATAAAATAATTAACCATCACCATGGCTAAGCACTAAGCAGATATTGTCAACTCCAACTGTTGAAAGTCAGAAGGAGTTCAACACTATTTCATTAAAACAGCGCCCAGTAACCGGTTAAACAACAAAATCAAAATTATATATAAATATATAGTGGATAAACCCAAGTACCCCACACATTCCCCAGGTCTACGCTATTATAACGCCGTGGAAGTTCCGTAAACACTTTTCAAATCCATTTATTAGCACATCAATTTTATTCAAATCGATTAACGTATCTACCTCGGATAAATTTTATTTTTCATCAGTTTTAAGAAATTTCCCGGCAATTATGATATGTACTCTACAATCTTTATAAGAAACGAAACTTTTGATAAAATACAATCAAAAACAAATTTTTGAAACTGTTGGTAATTGAGATTTGTTGTATTTTTCATATTTGCAATATATTTCAAGTAATATATATATAGAAAACAGGAAATTAAAAAAGTTAAAACAAGAATTTTCAAAAACGAAAACACAAACAAAAGAGAATGGATGCTTAGTTTGTTTCTTTGTTTAAGATTAGGATAACCTCTGAAACTATACGCCAGATTTTCAAAAATTTTGAACAAAACCTCATCGGGGTTCAAGGAATGTTTTAGGCTACCACGCGAATTTTGCGGTTAAAACACGTAAGCTGCATTACTTGAAATTGTTTCAATATTTATTGCAACCATTATTATCAAAAATTTCCAATAAAAAAAATTGTTTTGTTAATTCTAACTAATATTATAAATGCAAATGTGAATTTGTTTGTTTGCTACGTTTTCACGCCTTAACCACTTAACCAATCCTCATCAAATTTTGTACACACATTACCAGGGGTACAGAAAAGGACATAGGGTACCTTTTATCCAGAAAAAATGTTTTGTTCCCGAGGGATAGAAAAAATTAGTTTTAAGTGATCGTCAACGAACTTTCACACGTACCCAGGACGTAAACGCGAGTAAAACGTATCATGAAATTTTGTACACACATTACCAGGGATACAGAAAAGTGCCTTCTTTCCAGAAAAAAAATACAGTTCCCGATAAATAGAAAAATTAGTTTTATGTGGTCGTTGATGATTATGAGATTCTGACACATATTTAGAAGATGAACGCGAGCGATACCGATCACGAAATCTTGAAACAGTCCTTTTTAACTACCCAGTAGCCAAATCCTCGTAATCATTTTATAACAATTACAAAATGACTAAGGTAATACGAAACATAATCAAAAAGGTAATAAAACGCAAAAACGACATCTACAATAAACTTATTATAGTTCCGAGCAAACACAACAAATAGTAGGCAGTTTAATCACCTCAAATAAAAGTTTAGAAGTACGATTTTTATCATACAAAGCATTTACATAAACGGCTGCCAACTAATAAATAAATAACACTTTTTGTATTTCTGTTTTTGGATTAATTGTAAGATAATAAATAATAACTATGAATATCTTTGGCATCTTTATTTGTTACTAACATATGTACAGCCGTCTGATTTTATACTGGTTACACTAGTAAAGTGCAAAACGTACGCAAACATTAGAAAAGTTTTATATACGCGTTTTAAACTACATATTTCCAAACGTAATTAAAACAGAACCATTAATATTTTCTTATTAAACCTTCTCTTTAAATAGGCGAGATAGGTTGGTAGAAAACCTTCTAAAGCATGAAAGACTAGTCAGACATATTAGAGGCAGAAACAGGAGTTAAGAGGAGTAGAGGTGGACTTATATTAGATTAATGTTAGTTACAAAGAGTTAAGGATGTGGGATGTTCTAATTTTAGGGAAATGCGAAGATTAGCTCAGGATAGGAAAGAGTGGAGGTGCGTGTCCAGACAGTCTTAGGACTGACAACCTTATGATAATAATGAAACCTTCTTTTAAGTTTAATGATTTTTCTTTAAAACATTAAAAGATCTTCCTGTTTCTCTAATTTAAACTTCCTTACAGGACTCTCATGGTATACAAAGACAACTACGGGTAGACCAGGCTTGAAAGCTCAAGCTGAAGTGGTGGACCACCCTGAATATTAACTTACCCCGATATAATATACAATTAGACTTAATTTGTTCAAGTAAATTTGTCAAAAATTAGGTACATCATTAATAAACTTGTACAATTTTGTTTATAAACAAATTAAGAATGATTTTTTTCGTTTTTCTTGTTTTTTTTCTGTTGATTTTAGCGAAAAAAGTTAAATGAGAAATTTATTTAAAATCATTTTTTTTATAATGGGCAGGGGGGTCTGATTTCCTGAAGTAGTAAATCTTCTTCAATAAATGAAGATTTATCGAGAAAAAGCGATGTCATTCATGTCCAATTTTAAGAAACGCGTTCTTTGCGTATTCTACGAAATGTTTTAATTAATATCTTTGGAAAGGGTAAACGCATTTTTAAAATACTGACAAATATATACATATAAGTACATATTTATTAATATCAGTTTAATACAAAATTATGCATCGTCTTTATCTACTGATGTAAAAACACTTATTACTTTGTCAAAATCGAGAGCTTTTGCGATTTTTATCTCGATAATCATGATTGCTATATTTCACTTCCTGGCTAAGGGATGGAGAGAAATGTCACAAACTCCACATAATATTAATATTTTTTCAGTTGTCTTAATAAAAATTTTTGATGAATACTTTTTTGTTATTTTAATCTACATACTATTGACACTATTTCAACAAGTAACGCCCACATATACTAATTATTTATTAATTATTTTAAAGATCAAATGCTTGTGATTCGTTAAATTGTAAGAATCTAAGGAATTTGTGTCATCTGTGATTGTTTCTAATTAAATTTACCTACACTAACAATCAAAAACTTATAGCAAAAACGAATTTAAAAGACGATTGCAAATTAAAAATTAAATAGTAAATTTGAAAAAATCCATAAGTATACATATATGTATTCAATTAAACATTAAAAAGAACAACAAAAAATGTAGAAAAAATCCTTATTTACTTTAATTGCATAAAAAAAGAATTTAAATTAGGCTCTTTGATACCTAGTAATAAAAGTATTAACTGATTTTACATAATTCTGTAAAGAAAAAGGAAAATCAGTTACTGCTTGCATTGTAACTTATCAGACCTTTTTATAGAGGTGATATCATACATGAATGCAATGTCAGCACACAACAGCAATATTACCCACGTAACTAAAACATTGTAATTATACATACATATAAAACATACTTAGCTACCTACACCTTTTATGGTATGTTTCAAATATTCTAAAGATAACAAGTGTTATGAAAATATTAAAAATGTGTTGGAGAGATCCGCTGGCAAATTAAATGAAAACAACATTATCAGTCGTACTTAAAATCATAATAAAAAAACTTCTTACATACCTCCACCGAAAACTGATCTTGAATTCTTTTACAATTCATTGTAATAACTTTAGACATCCTAAACACATATTACACTACTACGAAAAACACCTAAACAAGCGTTATTTTAGTTCTGTTTGAAATTATAACACCATTAGCAAAATTAAACCGAAAACATGGAAACAAATGAAAAGTCTAGGTTATGTCCATACGCAATCGAAAATTAAACATCAGCCTACTACACACAACACGCGATGCTATGCAACTAAAATCAATAAAGGTACTTTAATCTTTCTCTTTCAAATGAAAGTTTGAACCTTCTCAACACCACTTTTAAGTTACTCGTTAAAAGAAATTATGGAAATCAGTACTTTTATACAAATTTAAAACATCCACTACCAGCAAAAGAATATTTCAAAACTTCTTTTCAAAACGCAATAAAGCTAAAAATAAAAAAAACAAACAAATTTTTAAAATTGCAACTATACATTGTACAGTACATTATACTGTAAATTATGCAATTTTTTTATTTCAAACATGGAAGAATAAATTGTCGTTAATTCTTTAATATAACATTGGTTTTGTAGTACTTATTTAAAACAGCATTTTAATAAAAAGTGTTAAATTTCCCGCTATACAATGAACCTGATTTTTTTTTCATTCTATGATTATTTTGAATTTTAAAAAGAAAATGATTGAATTATTTTATGTGTAAATGTGTTATTATTGCTAAAAATTTAACAGAAACCAAAGTAGGCATAACACATTTTCATTAATTTAAAATGTCAAAGTAAAATAAAGATGGCTTGGCACTCGTTTGAAGAAAAGTTATTGTTCAAAAATTGACGTTTTGTATTCCCGTTGAACGCTCAATTTATTACCCTAATGCTGCGTATGACTGTAAGCATTTTGATTTATTTTATTTATAATATAATAATATATAGAATTGTTCTAAATGAAGTTTACATACGCGTGGTTTGTTTATATATGACAAATTAATCGATGAAAATAGGTTTGTGGATTTTAATATAAAAGAAACGTCTAATTAATACCGATATATTCCACAATTTTATTAAAGTAAAGTTATTTTTTGCTAAATGTGTTTACATTTAAGATAACATGAATTGAAATCCCTGATTAATTAAATATTTGTGGTTTTACACTTCTTATTTATCTATGGTTTTCATAGATAACTAAACTTTTTTGGTCGATTTATTAATCAATTAGGTTAGTGAAAAATCTACCATTGCTCTCAAGACTACATAATTTGTTAAATTAATTTCGTTTTAATTTTTCATAAATTATTAAAAAATGGCAACAGAAGTTGAAGTAAGTAATACAATCTTTACATGATTACTGTTCGCAAAATACAATAACAACATTTTCGTCAAAAATATGTTGTTATACTTGGTGCTGTCAGTTTTTCATATTTATTTTAACTAGATTTTACTAACTATTGTAATAAATAATTTTGTTTGTGTTTCGGTTAAGCTATGAATTTGTAGATTAATGAAAAGCAACAATCGGAAAGTAACCAAGTAGTAGACATCCCTGCTACAGATTATTCTATCAAACATCCGCTTCAAAATAGCTGGACACTGTGGTATTATGAAAACGATCGGTCAAATACTTGGGAAAAAAATCAAAAAGAAATTGCATCCTTTGATACTGTTGAAGATTTTTGGAGGTAACTTTTCCTGTACATTGTTTTAACTAGTCTAAGAACACTTCAATCTTTTAGTCTATACAATCATATTAAATTAGCTAGTGATTTAAAACAAGGATGTGATTACTCTTTATTCAAAAAAGGAATTAGACCTATGTGGGAAGATGATGCTAATAAACATGGAGGGCGTTGGCTAATAAGCTTAGAAAAAAAACAAAGAGGGAATGATTTAGATCGATTTTGGCTGGATATAGTAAGATTAAAATTTATTTGTGTCTACATTTAAAATGATTATGAAATCTTCCAGATATTGTGTCTCATCGGTGAAGCATTTGATAATTCAGATGAAGTATGTGGTGCAGTCGTTAATATACGAGGAAAAGGAGATAAAATAGGTAAATATATTGATATTGGGAGTATACAAAGCATGCTGTGTTTTTCTTGTAATAAGGTGTTTGGACATCAGACTACAGTAACAAAAATGCTGTTCTTGAGATTGGACAAAAACTGAAAGAACGTCTTAGGATTCCCCCAAAGATGACTATTGGATATCAGATTCACAAAGACACAATGGACAAAGCCAGTTCATTGACAAAGAATACCTACACTATTTGAAAAAAACATATTGTCAGATGAAAGTAACAACTTCATGAAGTTATGGTGGTTTTCAGTTGAATTGCTTGAATAGTGCACTTTTTTCTCTTTTATTCAGTTATGAAAGTTTAATTTATATTTGATAAGTGATCCCATTAATAAAGCCGCCATTGTTACATTTTCTTAAGTTATTTTACAAATAAATTGAATAAATTTTTTTTTATAAAAATTTGTTTCATTTGAAATCAAAATGGTATTACTAATTTTAAAGTACACTTTGTTTATTTAATCAACCTTGACAATACATATAAAAATAAACATATTGTAGATACTTTTATTAAATTTAGTTCTTCAGCTGGTGTCAAGTTGCAAATAAACAAATATATAGTAAATAAACACTTTAATAAATTATCATAAATATGTAATAACAGACTAGAGATACTGCAGGCACAACTTATAAATGTTTAGTACACAAAATATTCAAAACTGGTACTTATCGAGTTGTAACATTTGTATGATTCATCTATAATGTTTCATGATTGAATGTTTTCTGTACAATACCTTAATTAAGTTTATATGAGAGATAAAGGGGATCCTAGGAAATGGCATTGGTTGAAAACGAGAAAATAAAAGGCTCAGAGGCTATTTAAAGCAGCCCCATTAATGTTAAATGAACCTTAATAGGTGTAGTTGTTTTTTTTTACAATTTTCATCTAAAAGTCTATTTGTAACTCATTTGTTGTCACAGATACAAATGAAAAAATTACCCAGATAATTAGGCAATTTGACAAAGGTTTGAAACATCCAGTAATTTTATTCAGGTACCATAGTAAATTTTTTCCCAGAGGTAGAAAATATGAAGCACATAAAAAAATTCAAAATCACTCAGGATGTTTTGACTCTTAGTTTTTCACCTTTCATCAACCAGATATATGGAACGACTAGAATATTGAAGAACATTTAAAGACATGACTGTTTTTTTTATCACAATGATGTTTCATATTTGTTGCAACAAGCATTACAGTATTATCCTTTATCTCCTCTTATTTATTCAAAGTTAAACTTTATTCATTGTGTGTATCAAATATGTGTTGAGCTTTTTCTTGCAAATCATTACGTCTTGCCTTAGATAAGGCTCTCAATAATGTTGACTGCCATTTTCTTTTCTCACATGTATTTTTGTGCATAATCAAAATTTTATGAACACGATCTGAAATTGAACGATATTGATCTTCCAGAGCATCTATTTGACCTTCCTTGACATCAAGCTGTCTTGCAAAGTCTTTCCATGAGTGTCCTATATCTTCAGCTATAAGAGAATGTATACGCTCTTCTAAATTGGTAGATGGTACAGGGAATACTAAAACATATCCATAGTCAATGTAAAATTAAGCAATTATTTTTATTCTTACTTGAAGTAGAACCAGGATGGTGTGTCTTTGTATAATGTAAAATCTTGGGTTTCAAATGATACTGATGTAAATGTTCTGTTATTTCTAGCAAAACATTTACATTATCTTCGCTGATAATATTTCTCTTTTCAAGAGTATATATTAATTTATATATATTGTTTATTTTATCAGTTTGTCTTGTAGAATTAATAATTTTGGAGTATTTCTCTTTAAGACTTTGTAATTGCTTTTCGTTACAATTACAGTTGTTGATAAAGTCTCTTTTTAAAATTTCGAATTCTAGATCTTTATTTGTCATGATCTACTAAAACAATGCTTTAGACATCAAAAACAAACCCATACGATTCCTGATACGGAATTTATGAACCAGAACTGTACAAAATAATAATTAGTAACAACTAAACTTTTCTTCGTATGCACTCCAGTATTACACATACTTCCACTCAATCATAGATAAGGATATAAACATCAGACAACTTCATACGATCATGAATCCAACTGAATAGTGGTAATGCTGCCAACAGAAACATTATAGGTGGGGGCTTTCCCGCTTAAAATTGTTAAATTATTTATTTTTAAAATGGTTTAAAAGCTCAATGTTTTTAATCGTCTAGTATCCTTATATCCTTATTAACAAGTAGGAGAAGAAGACAATGACTTATAAAAATTACTATCAAAATGAAAATTATTTTTGTTAAAATGGAATTAAATGACGATTAAATAAATAATTATTGAAATTAACACACAATTATATTCTTAACATCTATTATTTCTGAAACTTTCCCAGAATTATACTCATATTGCTAAAACCACTTATTGTTAATAAATCTACCAGTAGCTATCATGTGGCTATGCAGCTATCGGCAAAAAAATTATACATATATAGCGCATCCTCTTCGTACGCGTGCGCTGACAATGGCGCTGATTTTGGGTGTGCGGTCCGACGTCGGAGCCGGTGAACAAATATAGGTGCTGGGAATGAGCAATGGTGATATTCCCCACTTGTTCGTGAAAGTGGCAAAAGAAAAGTTGTTGCTCGCAGTCTGATTTCGATATGGAAGACTACAAGCACGTTACTCTTCCGAATTATTCGTATGTGTTTAATTTTGAGAATGACTTTATTCACCAAGACACCCGCACGTGGATGGTAAAAAACTGGACCCTCGGATTTTACTATGTGGGTGCTTATATGGTGCTCATCTTCGGTGGTCAATATTTAATGCAAAATAGGAAAAGGTTCGAGCTTCGCGGTGTGTTATCGTTATGGAACACGTCGTTGGCGGTTTTCAGTATTATGGGGGCTTGCAGAACCGTACCAGAGTTTTTGCACATTCTCACTCACCACGGCCTTTACCATTCTGTTTGTGTACCATCGTTTATAGAACAAGATAAAGTTTCGGGATTCTGGACATGGATGTTTGTTTTGAGTAAATTGCCTGAGCTTGGTGACACCATTTTCATCGTCCTCCGCAAGCAGCCCCTTATATTTCTTCATTGGTATCATCATATTACAGTTCTCCTTTACTGCTGGTTCAGTTATACTGAATATACTGCTAGTGCACGATGGTTTATAGTGATGAATTATTGTGTACATGCTGTGATGTATACTTATTATGCTCTCCGTGCTATGGGCTATCATCCACCTAGACAAATTGCTATGGTGATAACATCTCTGCAGCTTCTTCAAATGGTTGTTGGTTGTTGTGTGAATTTCTGGGCTCAACAGTTAATTCAGGAAGGGAGGGAATGCCATGTTACTAATTTGAACATCAAGATATCATTAGCTATGTATTTTAGTTATTTTGTCTTGTTTGCCAGGTTTTTCTATAAATCATACTTTTCTGGGGTAAAGTGGAAGAAACAAAGTAATGACGCGACTCTTTTAAAAGCTAAAGCACACTAGTAGCAGTGGTTGTTGATTAATAGCATTCCTAAAAGACTTGTTATTATTACTGTTGTGGTTGTGATTGGCTAATATTGTAGTTTTTTTAGATGAGCAACTAAATACACTTTGTACAGTACAGTACTTTGCAAGGAACAGGTTTTATTCAATTATAAGGGTGAGTCGAAGTTCTGTCCATTGACTTGAGATAATCTTATTATTCAATAAACACATGAAAATTAAGACTATATTGGACAATGACCTGTTGTGGTCTGGGCTTGGATTTTCCCAGTAGCTAATGGAGTTCCTCTTTATGGAGAGGAGAGTTGTATGACCCTTTAATGGGTTCATGTAATAAAGTACACTGAGTAGTGATAACTGCATTTTCTTGTAAATCTATTGAAAACTCAGAAACTGTACATTAGTCAGAAGCACAATTTTACAAATTTTGCCTTCTTAGTGAGTACATGTAATGGAATAGGGGTGGGCTTATTTCAAACTAGTCATTACCTAATTAAATAAAAGGCTATTAAAAAGAAAACAATACTTATAGGTATAGAAATAAATTTGTCTAAATTAAATTTAGTAAAGTTTTTATATGAGGAAAATGGCATTTGTTTTTATTTTTAAAATGCTTAATGTTGAATATTTTTATGTAACATAAATATACTTATGCAATTTTACAATTGTTGATGTTTTTTATATTTAGCACGTTTTCTTGCATTTTATAGTTAAACTTAACGTCGAAATGTTTCTTAAATATAAAACGTAAACCCGGATAAAGATCTTAATTTTCTTTTGTTATAGTAGGTACCTATTTATTTGTTAGGCGTTTGTTCTTAACAAATGATTGGGTTTACTTTGTATATGTATATATTAGTAAACTGTAAAAGTATTAATAATGTTTGATAAGTTCATCAAATTTATGAGTACTAAATTATTTATATTTTGACCATTTTCTATGAAAAAAATTGTTGAATTATTCGAAATAAAAGTGCTTGTTAAGAGGATGTTTTTTTTTTTATTTCAACGTAAAATCATTTATTGTTCAAGTAAATCTATTGTTAATTGCATTAGAATGTCGTCAATTAAATTTTTAATAGTTTCATAATTGATAAAGTCATTGCTCTGTTTACATTCGGTTTTATGGGTCTACGTTGACGTTTGCCCCGTAATAATTTAACATTCAGGACAGTAACGAGAATATTCGCTGTAGGAAAGTAAATGAAAGTTAGTCTTCTTTTGCATTCTGCTCTTGTATGATTTCTAAAGTTGTTAAGGGTGACATAAACGAAATTATTTATTATCTTACGTAGCGATATTTTACATACAAACAAGGTTGTTGTAATAAGTTCAAACGTGTCACGGATTACATTTTGATGTAGTGTTATAAAAAATAAATAATTTTTTGCTTGTTTTTCAATTGCATGTTTACATTTCTAACACACATAAGTGAGTTTTAGTATATTTTAAATGTGTTCATTAAATTATTTTCTTATTTTTTCGACAAATTTGAAAGATAAAAATGGTAATGAGTAGATTTGTCAAAACATCAACAAAAGTTAATCACAATTTTGGTTAAACTTAAGCAGTTAATTAAAGATAAAAACATTCCAGTAGATTAAGTATTACCTACTTTAATTAATACCGGCAGTACTTTAACACCGGAAGTGCCCATTGCAGTCATAACGCGATGCGTTTTCATACTTCTGGAAAAAAAATAATTATCAGATAATTGTAATAATATTTATGCGTTTTAAGTTACTGTTATTTTAATTGATTACTTATTACCATGAATAATTAAACATTGTAGTTCTTTTTATTAGCGCAAAAGGAGTAATTAACACTTCGCTTTATTTAATTGCAAGTTATTGATCGAATTGTATTGAATATGTTTTTTATATCTATCAATCAATAGGTATGTATTTTGAAAAATAAATTTGTAGGAGCGTTTCTTATTTTTATTTGTGATATGTTTTACTTCAAGCGAAATAGTTTCGCCGTTTATACTTTTTCAGACTAAAAATGCAAATATGTATTTCCTACTACAAAAGTAAAATAAAGTTTAATTTATCAAGTTATAAAGGAAATACTTCGATTCCTGTACGTACTTTTGATGATCACATTTTTGCGTAAATATACTTATTTGTAATGTAAATCGATATTGACCCCAGACACAGTAAAAGCATTAATTAACATGGAACAATTGTTTCAAAAATTTTGATTACCTCGTGGCAATAACATTAACATATACATATGCATGAAAATTTAAAAAAGATACATCCAAACCGGCAGCAAGTGAGCAGTGAATAATGATTATACCTACATGTAGATATATTTGAATAATCAACATAATATAGATAGTTACTTGTTAACACAGAAAGCAATAATTGCTTAATTTTAAATTTTAAAGTCTATTAGTTTTGTTTAAAATTATATTTTTCATAACGCTAGATTTGGCATTCGTTATTTCCGATTTGATGTTCTTCACATGTCACTCGAGTTGTCCTGCAGATTTAAAAAATCGTTCAAAGAACTTCCTAGTACAATTGTTCCCGTTTATTTGGACGATATAAGTAATTACCCCACGTTAATCCAGAGACTCAAACATCATGATAATTACATATTTATTAGGAAGAAAAATATCCCGTAACCTGGCGCATCAAGCCGTAAAAGATAATTTTTAGACATTTCTGACGATTTATGTTGCAGTTTGCAAGTTTATCCTATCCTCTTACAAAACTAATTGTCCTTAGAAACGGAGGAATAAATAGGAACTACTTCAGGAAGTCGAGGCCAAGAAATTGAAACTGGAGAAATGGTAATGATCGTGAATATACCAAGACCCAAAGGGCTGGGTCCGTGGCATTAAATGGTATAGGTAATTTTTGTCAAAATTTCTACATAAACAAGAGTATATTAAAGATTTCTACACCCATTTATTCTAGAGCTGTAAATTGGCACTTACCACTAAAGATGACTTTTTGGTACTTTTTTGATAGTTTTTTTGTATTATTTTCATTGTATTTGTTTGTTTTAATCTTTGTAATTAATCTGAAAATTTATTTCGTAGTTCAATAAAGAATACGTAATATGTTATTAACACTAACAAATATTTTGTAACGTTTCTTCAAAATGTCTCTACTTTATGATTTGGGCACTTAGCATCTCTGATACTTTCACTCTTCAAATGATAGAGGTACCTATGAGTGAGATGGTATTATGCCAGGGTATTCCTACACATGTAGAATTAAAAAAACTGTCTCTAATTACACGTAGGTAGGTGATAATGTAAGTAATATAAAAATCATGCGTGTGTAGATACATTTTGGGCGGGAAATGCTGTATAGGTAATATATAATCCATGTAATACATATAATTTCTTAACGACGCGTTTCGTAAAACATTCAAAGCTAATTGTAAGTAAATTAGGTACGTTTATTAAGAGAAACCTTGTAAAAATGGGACGCTTTACAATGAAAATGCCTGGGTATAGTGTTACATGTTGTGGAAATGCTTTAAAGCATCGAAACACAACACGAACTCTTGAAAATATTCGAAATCTATCTTATTATGCGCGATTGTGTCAACTAAATTGAGACATCGATATAAACGATTAAAAATATAATCGATTTATCGATATTTTTTCCCAAGGGAGTAGATACGGTACTTTTACAATATCAACAAAAACATAATTGTTAGGGTTGTAGCTAGCCACCGAGTTTCTTGGTCACAAACCGTTGTGTTGGTGGATTCACTTTCCTTCGGTCCATTTGTTCAACTTTTTCGTCATTGGACTAAATGAGTTAACTATAATCTTCAATCTTTCAGTCTGTTTTTTATGGTACCATTCTTTACATTCAATCTAATCATCAAGGAGACCATTGCTCTGATCGATTTAGTATGATTCGATGTGAAATTGACTATTTCTTTTTGCCCACGTATTCTATCCATATCACCCTCTGTAGTTATTTGAAAGACCTAGTATAATTTGAATATTGTTGAGAATGGAATTTTACGTTTTCATGCCGGAATACTAGAATGAGTAACACTCATTTGGAATATTTTGACTTTCTTATAATTATAAACAGGTAAATTTCCATTTTGTATAATACATCCGATAATGTGCTACTAAACTGAATAACACCCATACTGTTGATGGTTTTGAACGTAAATCTTTTTTAATTATTATTTTGTTAAATAGCGATTGTCATTGTTTATTATCTGTTTTTATTTATTTTAAAATATTTTATTATTAGATATGTTTGTAAATTTACTGTTATAAAAATCATATTAACAAAAATTTTAAATGCATAATAACATTACTCAAGTATAACTGAATGTACAGCGTGTCTTATCGCAAAATTTTTTGTGTATCTAGGTACCTATACATATGTACATGTGTAAGGTCAAGGATGATTTGACAGAATAGAAATAATAACAATAGTAATAAAAAACAATTAATAATAGTCTTGGAACGGTTTATAAGGATTATCTATTTCATTTTTGCGTGAAGATGTTTTGATTAAAATTGGTTACAAAACAATATATAAAATTGAAGAATTAGATAGGTAATCATGATTTTGAAATATTCCTTACCACTCTCAATATACAAGTAATGAGAACAACACGATCGATAAATAAAATATGACCATCATTAGTAATCGCTAATTTGTATAATTATGTGCTCATGTACATACACATGAAAATAATGAAGATGCAACATAAAAGTGCAATATGTACGTTATTATATTTATTCTTCTGTAATTTTAGTACATTGTAATATTTATCGATAAACGGTGAGGTTGATTTGTAATTAATGATAGTAATTAGAACTAATAATGATTCGCCAGATACACCGTTTAAAATTATATTGACCTTGCTTATACAAAAACCTGATCAAAATAAAAACAAAAAAGAACCCCAATCAAAGCAGAGGAAAAATATTTTATACATAGTACTTGAAGTTGCACCTGTACGTCCATGAACTCATACAGAGGTTTTCACTTATGTCCTTTCTTCAATCGTCGGGGATTTAACAACATTCTATAGCACGTTAGGCCTTCATCTTCAACTTTTTCACTTGAGTCTTATAGTGACGATGACCGGGCAATTTTTTTTTTGTTTACGGGTTTTTAATGACTAGTGTTAACGAAGATGTATCAAAAAGGCGTTGCAAATGTTAAAAAACAACTTCTTGTATTGCTGGAATTCTGGGATCATTCAATGATTTACAGAATTAAAGCGAAATAAAGCAAGTCATTTCTGTATTTCTTCCTGCTTGAAGTATTGAGGAGATAAAAAAATAATCACAGCAGTAAATAAATGTCAAGCTGATTGTTAAAAGTAGCTTTTTTTGGTGAAGGTTATTATGCTGAATAATATGTACAATTTTTTTGTTGTGGATATGTTGGGTGCGAAAACCATTTTTTCGCATAGTTTTCTATGCCTAGAAAAATTAAAAATCAGAACTATTCGATTCAGAACTATTTGATAATTAACATACATTCAAAGTTAAAAAGGGTTAAAAGTTTTTTGCTATTGAAATACCACTACCATTAACTTAAAAAACTGGGCATTAGAAAGTTTAACAACTTAGGGAGAAACGTTGGCGGTTTTTTTTAAATAGTAAAAAATTTTAAGCCCTTTTAGCTTTGGTTGTATGGCTTCAATACTTTATATTAAAAAGAAATATTAAAATTGCGTATTTAGACCATTACCTTTTTCTTTAAAGAACACTTTGTATATTTTGCGATTGAAAGATTCGATTAATATCTTTTAAAATATCATAAAAATGTTGCAATCAGCTTCTCTCTGTTTTAATCTTGTTATTATTATATTATTATCTTTTAACCTTGAAGTGCATTTTATACGTTAATGTTTAGTTTGTGAAGGACAAAATTTACAAATAATGTCAAATATGTAAAATTTCTACATTAATTTAACTTAAACAACAGACGTTTTAAAATATGTTTTCCAAAAAGTATAATTAGAGTCAGTGATTTCAGTA